TTATTATTATTATTATTATTATTATTATTATTATTATTATTATTATTATTATTATTATTATTATTATTATTATTATTATTATTATTATTATTATTATTATTATTATTATTATTATTATTATTATTATTATTATTATTATTATTATTATTATTATTATTATTATTATTATTATTATTATTATTATTGTTGTTATTACAAAATTATTATTATTATTTCTATTAGCATTATTATTATTATTATTGTCATTATTATCATTGTCATCGTTATTATTATTTTCATTATTGTTGTCATTATTATTATTATTTTTATTACTATCATTTTTGTTTTTATTGTCGTGGTGGCAAAATTTCAACAAAAACCAACACCTACAATTTTTTTTCCAACTATTCATCAGGAATTTAAATGTAACAAAAGTGACGGAATTTGAATCAATGTGATAGGTACACGTGTGACTACACGAATATCATCATGAACAATTTATTTGCTTAGCTACTGTAGCACCATAATAATAATCCTAACTATGTAATTGGCTTTATATTAATTTTTAAATTAATGACGAAATTATTTTCATTATTTTTATTAATGTTTTAAAACAAATTCACCAGAATTAGTAGCTCTGTCAGAAAGTCAAAGCATAAAGGTTGAAAGTAAATGTAATAAAAAAAAAAAACCGATCGAAGTTTTTCTTTCCTATTTGTTGCAAGAATTGTCAACTTTTAATTCGTCCATTTGAGAAATCTTCAAAATTGTCCATAAAACTTGACAAATTTCGGTATTCAAAATTTCAAAATTCCACGCAAAATAATTTAATTGAAAACGATTGTCACCAAATTATGCAAATATCCTTAGGTAACTTTTGTGAAAATTCAATCCCTAGCTAACTTTTGTGAAAATTCAAATGACCAAATAAGGTGAGTGTAATAATCATAAATTTTGCGTCCAATCGATACTGCACTCAATGGCTCGTACTTCTCTTTGTTTTCGTTTTCTTTTTTTTTCTTTTTTTTCAAATTCAATTCGAGGAGAGAACCAATTGACGCTGCTTTTTTAAACTGGTCAGTTCAATGAGGAACTGACCAGTTGAAAATTGACCAGTTCAAATTTATTTCATCTAACACTCTTTATGCTTACAATATTTATTTTTTTTTAAATATAAATACAGAAATTGTGAATATATGTAAATTAAAAAAAAAAGAAAAAAACAAATGACAAATGATAAGAATAGTAAAAATTTCCGTATATTTTACATTTAGCAAGAAATTGAAATAATTATTAGACGGATTCATTTTGATATCATTCCTCAACGTATAATTGTTCGGATATCAGTGATATTAATATAATCATACACTGAAAAATGATATTGAAATGTTGGTACCATAATTAAATGATATTATCGATAACAGAATTTAAAATTGATATTGTTGTCAACAAAGTTTCATTGATGCGATCAATACTGCATTATATGCTTCTTTCAATCTTAATGCCTGAAAATACAATTACATATCAGTGTATTTGGAATTAATATTTCTTATCAAATTATCAATTTTCAATTTTAGTTCCTGTAATTATATTAATGAATAAGAAAAAATGCTAATGCGAAATATTTGTGTAATTTTGATATATTCGATAATTTACAATTTTTGAATTTCTTCTATTTTCATTTTTTGGATCAATTTTAAATGAATTACCGTTAACTTAAAGCTCTAAATTCTATCGTAAGGATTTAATTTAATTTAGAAATCATTCGAAAATTCGATTGGAATTAAAAATTTTAAAAATTTTTAGATAATTCACAAAATGATTTGCAATTTTTTGTTGAAATAATTTGCAAAAAAAATATAAAAAAACATCAAATGATCCTATGCTTTACATTTTTATTTTTTGCCAAATAATATTCATGAAGAAAATTAACTATCGAAATAGTGGCAATAGTGTAACGAAAAAATTTTTTAAATGAAATTTTAAATAATTAGAAATTTGTCTTTCATTGCTAAAAGAAATACATATAATTGTTTTTAAAGTTTTCAATTTATCTAACAAATGCGACTGTCATCTTTGGAATCTTTTTAAAATTTATCTGAAAAATGCCGCTGTCATCTTTCGAATGCTCTTTAAATTTATTTGGCAAATTGCAACCGTTATTTTGGAATTTTTTTGTTCCCCCAAATTTACCTGGAAAATGTGACCGTCATCTTTAGGGTTTTTTTTTCAAGTTTATCTAGAAAATACTGCCGTCATCTTCGAGATTTCCATCGATTTTCGCAAAATTATGCGGTAAACGGTAATTAATTAGTGATAAGAGTAATGCGATACTTATAATCAAATACTTAGGATGATTTTTAAATTGTTAAATTTGTTGAAAGGATGATAAAGTAATCAGAATAAATGTGATATTATTTGAACTTACATATCAACCTTTCTTTTTCTCTCTTCTCTAATAATAATAATTATTATTATTATTATTGTTAGCTTTAATTAGCATATTCATATATAAATATATCTACATTTATATAAATACAAATGATATACATCTACGAGATGACGATGGTTGCATTTTCCAGATGAATTTAAAGAAAATTCTAAAGACTACAAATCCTAAGGATTTTCTAGAAGATGAGATACCTATTCATATATATATATTTAACGTAACTCACTTACGTGAAACACGTGAACGGCATAGTTTTGCAATATTTCTTACCTCTTTTTTAAAAAATTCATAATTTGTTTCCACTTCTCGTTGTGCTACTTCTTCACGTAAAATATCCAAATTTTTTTCCACACATTGCCATTTTTTTTCAGCATTTTTTAGCTAAAATGTTTTTTTTTTCAAATTAATTTATGAAAATTTACAAAATGTGATTGATCATTGAAAAAAAAATGGTGCAAAATGATTATTTATCTGATAAATCTTAAATATAATTAAATATAATCATGATCGATTAACTTAATTTTGTAATCGACTAACTTAATTTTGTGGTCGATTAACTCAATTTTATGATCAATTAACTTAATTTTTAGGGTGGTATTTTGTGACTCTATCTGTTATTTTTATATATGAAAAATTACTGTCAAAGAATCATTACCATAATTAATAAAAATAAAAATTAAAATTTTATAAAATATCTGCAAAACTAATTTCACAATGTGAATTTTATATTTTCAAAAATATTCACCAATATTTTCTTACTTTGATATATTCATCATTCTTTTCAAGTTCAAATTTTGTTTGCTCCAATTCATCCATCAATTTTTGATATGAATTATTCGTTTTTGGCAATTCTTCTGCCAAAATTTTACGACGATTTTGTAATTCCTAAAAAAAAAAATAAAATAAAATTGTTTAATAATCACATCATTATCAATGTGCTTCTTAATAAATTCATTAATTATACCCGTTGTTTTTGTTCTTTATGAATTTTTAATTCATCGATATTTTCAAACTCTTCAATTTTTTCATTCATTTCTTTAATTCGTTCACTGATCTGTTTATTATCCATTTGAAGATTTTCTTTTGATTTATCCATTTCATATAATTCTTCTTGTAAACAAACATACACTACAAATATTATTAATTAATTTTACAATAATTATCAAGCCATATCTATCCAATTGTATTTAACATTATTATAAATTTTAAATTTTGCAAATGAATTAATGAAAGGATTACAATTTTAGATTTTGAAAAACGAATGAAAGAAAGAAAGATGATAAAAATTTTCGAAGTTTTTTTTTTCCTATTGATTGAACTTTTTTTGTATGGGATTTTTTTGGTGTTTTTAAATTTTGTGTTTTTCGAATTTTAAAATTTTCCTGGGAGAATTTATAATAATTCAATTAAAAAAAAAAAACATTTTGCTTACATTCTTTCATCGCTGATATCGAAATATTTTCATTCATCTTGAATTCAATAAGATCCTGGTTAGCATTCTGCGAAGTAAGACATAAATTTGTCATATTTATTGAAATTAATTCTAATAAACGAACTACTTCAGCAGATATTTCATCAATTCGTAACTCTTCTTCTGCTCTCAAATTATCGTATGAATTTAAAAATTCATCTAATTGTATTTCTTTCAATTTAAGCTCCCGGTATTTCTCGTTCTTTTCACCTAAACAAAAATAGCGCATTTCAATATTTTCAACATTTGTCTTAAAAAGTTTCCTGATAAATTAAACTTCTTAGCTAACAGGCATAAATTATCATAATAACTGATAATTGCTATATCATGATAATTTGATTTATGCATATGATTGGAATTGTTCAATGTATAATGTCTCAAACTAAAATCATTAAATATGATAGCACAAAATGAATGCGATAGAAATGACAATGATAAATGATAACTTATCATTATTAGTTTTAGACTAAGTTATTTGAATAAATCATTTGTTGATAACTGAATGATTGGAATAGAAGTTATCTTATGATAATTAACAATTTACCAACGACATTTTCCATTTCAATATCAAATTCTCGTAATTCTTGTGTTAATTGCTCAATTTGCTCATTAATTTCATCTAATCTGTAAATTAGAATGACGCAATAATTACTTTACCCAATTTAATTACCGAAATGCATTAAACTATAAATAACTAATTTCTCGTTTTTTTTGTTTTTTTTTTTTGGAAACTTTGAAACATACATTAAGTGTGATTTAATAGTTAGTAAAATTTAATGTTCGAAACAAATATAACCAAATAAAATTGGTATTTTAAGGTATTTTTACATGTTAGCATTAAAATATTCTTTAAGTATTATTGCATTTTAAGTGTCGAAATATTTTTAAGCATTTCTAAGTATTAAAATGAGTATTTTCAAAAAATAGGTATAGGTATTTTTATATTTTAAATATTTAAATATTTTTAGGTATTATTATATTTTTGATATCTATATAGTTTTAGATATTTTCAAATATGAAAATAGATTTTTTTTTTAAAATATATACTTATCTAATAAGTAATACTTAACTGTTTTTGTATAACATTAATTTCATCAGTTGTACGAATAACTGTTTGTAGCAAACGTTCACGTTGTTCATCTGGTGTACCTTCCGCGTTAATTTCATTAACAATTGACAATTTTTTTCCTTCAAGTTCCATTAAACGTTCGTAAAGTAGAGCTATAAATAATTAATAATTAATAATTAATGTGTGTTTATAACATATAGATATATTTGATAAAATACAAAGTTAAAATATAATTTAAAAAAAAATTTAGTTAAAATTTTTTTTTAAAAATTCAATAATTTATTTGATAAATTCGAATATTATTGAGTTTTTTTTCTTTTTTTTTGTTCTTTGATACTTATAAACAAATTTCAGAAATTAATTGTTAAAAAAATAAAAGATTCTTGTTTGATGAAATAATCACATTTCAATATATATATATATATGCACATATATTTGCATATTTATTAATTACTAATTAAAATTTACTAGCTTGGTGTTTAAGAGGAAATTTTGCTAAATGTTCATCAAATTGTTCCTTTGTTTGATTCAATTCATTTAACTCATCCTGTTTCATCTGATATTCCGCCAATAATTCATCATTTTGTTTCTTCAACTCTTCATATTCATCATAAATTGCTGGATTCTATAAATGATGATAAAATAAATTTGAAAATGTTGATAAAATTAGCTTTGAAATGTTGAACAAATGAATTTGAAACAGTAATAAAATAAAGTTTATGGAAAAATTTGAAATCTATTCAAAAATGCTAATTTGAAATTGATTAATTTTAAATAAATTTATAAAAAAGTTAATATTTAAAAATAAAAAAATGAACAAAAAAATTTGTTTAAATTTTATAAATATTTTAAAACCAACCACTGAATGAAATTTAGCATTATTTCGTGTTTTTTGTTCTTCAATTTCATTTTCAATTTTACGTATTTCATCTTCTTTAGCACGTCGTTCTTCAACTAATTCAGTTAAACTCTTTTCTGCATCACAACGTTGTTCATGTAATTTAGCTAATTCATTCTCAATTTCATCCAATTCCGAATTTGTATTAATCAAATCCATTATCTGCAAAAAATTGAAATAAAATTGAAATTAAAAATTTCAAGAAAAAAGAAAAAAAAGAAAGGAATGAGAAAAGGGAAAGGAAAAAAAGGAAAATAAACGAAAAAAAATTATATTGATCTATTCTGCCTTTTTTTTTTTCGTCACCATGTCACTGAAATTGTTTAGAAAAGGCATGTATAATTTACATTAATTTATTTAATAATGACAAAAATAATGATAAGTGTTCAACAATAACAGATGTTTATCAATGATAATAATGTTTAACAATGATGAAAAATAATGGTAGGTGTTTGACAATAACAGATGTTTATCAGTGATAATAATGTTTAATAATGATAAAAAATAATGATAAGTGTTTAGCAATAACAGATGTTCATTAATGATAATAATGCTTAATAATGATAAAAAATGGTAATAAGTGTTAAGCAATAGTAGCTGTTTATCAATGATAATAATGTTTGATAATGATAAAAAAAATGCTGGAAAGTGTATATTAATAACAAAATTGCTTAATAATGATAAAAAATATTGATAAATGTATATATTAATGGTAATATTGTTTAATAATGAATATAAAATAATGATAAATGATTACTAACGAGAATATTGTTTAATAATAATAAGCAGTAAATAATGACAGTTACTAATTAAAATTAACTGCAACATTGCTTAGTAATGATTAAAAAATAGTGATAAAAATTTATCAGTAGTAAAATTGTTTCATAATAATTACAAATAGTGTAAATGTTTATTAATGCGAATAATGTTTAATAATAATTAAAAAATAATGATGAATTTTTATCAAATGATAATATTGCTTAATTGTGAATAAAAATAATAATAAATACCCATAAATGCTGATAAACAATGTGATAATATTGTTTAATAATAATGAGTGATTATTATTAACTGATAAAGGGATGATAAATGTTTAAAAATGATAATATTGTTTAACAATGATAAAAAAAGACAATCGATAATCTACTTTTAAATATTCTTTACATTTCCTTATCAGTCTGCTTTTCGACAGTGTTTTTTCAACGATTCAAATTTAACACAAAAGCGCAGAAAATCGATTGTAAATTTTTTTATTAGCATTAAAAAAAAAGATTTAATTTGTATATAAATATATATAGAAAAAAAGACCGATTTTCAGACTTTTACTATTTATCGATTAATCTTATCAATTTTTCTTTTACAATTGCAATATAGTACTAATAAATAACTATTTACTTCTAACCTTATTGTAATCTAGTAAGCGTCCTTGCAATGTTCGAATTATATTCGCTTCTTCTTCTGCCCTAAAAATGATACCATATCAATCAAAATTATAAATGATACTATATTTTTAGCAGGTACAGTATCCATAATTTACCATATATATACAATCTGTTATATAATGTATCATTTCCGATAGTAGACAATGCTATTCGAAAGTTTGCAGCTTTTTGCTAACAATATTGATTAAAGCTTAAAGATGATTCATTAGCTAACTTAAACTCTTTCATTTTCAATCAAATTTTTTTTTCGCAATTCAATTATTTGAGAAACAATTAATTATTGATTGATTTTCGAAATTTTCGGTTTTTACTTTACATGTATCTGTATAATATTGATTAGTAAATTACTGATTATTTTTAAACTTGGAACTTTTCATCGTACTTAAAGAGATGATAACATACTAATGAAAATTACGGTTAGTACTGTATTTCTAGCAGGTACAGTATCCAGGCAAATACATTACAATATAATTACATTATTAGTACTAAAATTTAATAATTTATTTTCGAACTTCATTTTTTTTAAAATAATAAATACTTACTTTTTTTCATAAATCAATAAATTTTGACGATCACATTCACCCTTGCTTAAATCACTGTGTAATTTTTCAATTTCACTCATCAAATTGTTCATTTGGGTTCGAAGTAATGACATGTAATAACTCTTATCGACAACGAAACGTCCAGCTTATATTTGATGAAACAATGAATTTTTTAAATTCTTAAAATTTATCTTTGAAATATCTGAATTCGAAATTTTAAAAATTACTTCAGATTCGACAAATATTTTTCTACAAAAAACGTAAAATGATCTTTTTCTTATTCCTTTTTTCTTTATTATTTTTTTTTTTGCTAGCATTTTTTTACAAATTTATTCATTTCATCTTTCAAGTGAAAAATTCTAAAAAAAAAAAGAAATTTAACCTCCAACTTTGGTTGGTGCCCGAACACCGGTTAATCCTTGTTGTGTTACGGGTCGCATCGCGGTACCACGTGGTGCTGTTTGAATTGTTAATTTTGCACCTTGTGTCGTACCTATTCGATTTCGAACTTTTTCACTACGCTAAAATACTGCAACATGAAATTCCACGATAAAATGAAATTTAAAAGTTAAAAAAATTCATACTTATGCAAATTCTTTTGAAAAATTTCAATAAAACAAGAAAAAGAAAAAGGATGATTTACCGTAGCTGAATTCAATCTTGTTGTTGGAATAGATCCAATTCGACTCACTGCAATAATTTTCAATTAACATTATTTGATTAACACTATCAATCAATTTATTATCATTAACAATTATTTTTTTTTTATCATTTTTTTTCCTATCATTGTATCATTATATAACATTTTTTTTTGCAGCTTTTTTCTTATCATCGGTAGCCTTATCAAAATCATTTGTACACAAAATTATCACTCGTACAAGTTAAATAAAATTTGCAGTGATTTATTAAACTTGAAGTATTTCAATTTGAAAATTAAGAAATCCGAAATTCATTATAAATTATACCGTATATATCATAACTCTGGTACCCGTTTACTTTTTATTTTGTAATTGATGAATGAAAAAAGAATTTTTTTGATGTTAACTTTTTTGTTATGGGTAATTTATTACCCGTAACAAAAATGGGTAATTTTGCTATGGGTAATTCTCTTTGTCAGTAAATCAAAATATCGACTTCTTTCTTTTTCTTCTTCCTTTTCTTTCCCTCCTCCCGCACCCGCAATTTTCCGATTAGCAAAATTAATGCATATCAGGTTACTAATATTGATTGTCATGTGTGTCATAGATTGTCTTATTGTTGAAAATTTAGAATTTAGGTTTCACTAGGAATTCAGAATTCCGGTTTTTACCAGAAGTAGTATTAAGGATTTGTCGCAATTCGATTGACATAACATTAATGTTCGTTTTTCTTGAAAAATAACTAAAGGAATTATTTAAATATGAAATTATATATATGAAAAAATTGTTGGAAATTTCTGATAACTTAAAAAAAATGCAATATAGTCCTTAAAAATATATTTTTGATCAGTTTTTGTTTTTTTTCTTTTTCAAAAACCTAAAATTTGCATTTTTTTTGCAACTTCTAATTTTCAAACAAGAAATTGTAACGAATTTTCATTTGTAATGAAAGTTTTAAAATTTCAATTTTAATATCTTTTTTTAATTCAAAAACAAAAATAAAAAACAAAAGAAATGGACGAAAAAGTTTCTACTCGTTCGTGTTGTAGTCGTTGATACGGTTGTTGATTCCGGTACCATTGCGGCTCGGCTAATTGGTCGTTCCAGAAAATCTATAAGAAATAATGTGCAATTAATTAATTTCTTCAATATCTGCACATTTAAGCAAAAAACAAAAAAAAGTCATTGCTAAAAGTTTTAACCAGTAAGATTATCAAAAAAAAAAAAAAAGAAAACCGATATGATTTTAACTGATAAAATGATAAGATTAAAATTGATGTGACATACTTACCATTTTGGGGAATATGTATAGCTGATGATGATGGTTTACGAAGCCTAGCTGAAGTAGCACGTGTACCAGCGGATGTTTTTGGACGAGCAGTAGTTGGCCGAGATATCATTTACACAGCAAAAGTTTATTGTATAAGAAATAATTGTAATAGCAATTTTATGAATGTTCGTAAAAATTTGAAATCGATTTTAGTCTGATAGAAAAGAGTGCTTAGCGGTTGCCGTGGAAACTATTATTATTATTACTGCAAATAGCAATTACACAATAATTGAAATATTTTCACTTCTAAAAATTATTTTAAATAATTTGTATAATGTTGCCGTTTTTTTTTAAAATCTATTTAATTGCAAAAATTAAAGAAAAATTTAATTAATTTGATCAATCATTCAAAAAATAAACAAAATTTAATCAATTATTTAAATTAAATAAAACAAATTGTCAAGAAGTATTATTGGCGGCAAACAATTGAATTTGCATTTCAAAAAAAAAAAAAATGAAATTTAACCAATCATTCATATAAAATAAAATAATTTGTCAAATAAGTATTATTTTCGGCAAACAAATTGGATTTCAAAATATTAATTTCCATTTAGTGACAAAGTATATTTATTATTATCATGAAATTTAATCAATTATTCATATAAAATAAAATAATTTGTCAACAAGTATTTAGTGACAAAATATATTTATTATTGTCGTGATTATTATTTAATTAGTATGATTATGATTATCATTATTATTATTATTATCATTATCATTATTGTTTTCATAGATAATGATTTTTGTTGTTGTTCGAAAATGGAATTTCCAAAAAGAATTAAATTTTGAAATTAAAAAAGTTTAGCAAAAATGGTTTGCTAAGTTTCGTATGAGAAGACAAATTTTTTTAGGTAATAAATTTTAAAAGAATTTGCATTTAAGAGAAAATAAAATCGTAAGTCTATTATTAGCATACTGTTTAAAAGTATATGATAATTGAGATAATGATAAATGTTGAAACATATATTTTTAAATTTAAAAAAAAACAAAAAAAATGAAGCATATCTTTTGATTTCATTGATAAATTATAGGAATGAAAAGGCAACGGAATGAAGAAAAAAAGTTTCAAATAATTTTAAACTTCCGAACAATTATAAGTCATTTCTGGTTAATATGTTTGAAATTTGACTATTCTATCGTAATTTCAACATTTTAAAAATTTCGGAAAAAAATATATAAATATTAAACGGATTAATTAATTAAAGATCAGTGAGAAATTTTTCAAGTATAAGCAGAAATGAAACAATGTAATTTTAAGCAATAATTATCAAAGCATAAATAAGGAAATTCTATTTTGTTAAAATAGTAGTAAATGTTAACTTATAGTGAAAACAAACGATACAAATCGAATTTGTAATAGTGATAAAATGGTTAAAATTACTGATAGTTTAAACATATGGTGATAAGAACAAGATAAAATTCAAATTGATGAGCTTGTAATGATAGCGAGGAAATATTGGAAAATTGACCACAAGAAAACAGATACCAATGATAAAGTATGTCATTACAGTAGAATGATGAAAAATGGTTGATAAAATGATAGTAATTGATGAATTTGTAATGATAACAAAAGAGGCTAACAGCTGATAACAACCGTAAGTAATCAAAACTTGAAATGGAGAGATGAAAATAACTGATAAATTATTAATGATAACAATTGAGAAAATGATATTATCAAAACGAAAAATAATATTATCAGGGTAATTATGCATATGATTGATAACATCCATAGTAGACTTTTTCACGGATATTCCTTTTTGATATACTAATAAAAAAAAAAGATGAACTAAACTGATCGAGCATTCATGATATTTTTGTTTTGACATATGCCAAATTGAATTAGATTGAATTATTCTATTATCAATAATTTTTAATTTTCAAATTATATTAAAATTTCAATTAAAATTTTTATTTTTCCTTTTCTTTGGCATCATTAACATCATTGATGAATTATGTTTCCAAATGAGTTTATTTTTCATCAAATTAGCCAATATTTTTTTCGCTTTTTGCTTATCCTCAAAATATTCAACATTTTTTAAAATGATTACTGTATCCAATTGCGCACGAATTTCACTTGAATCACTTATAAAGCTTTCATTGTATTTCCAATTTTCGATATAATTATTAGTACCACATATTGACATGTCAAATTTTGTCGATAAAAATGGTAATTTCCATGATGCAAATACTTGCGTATTTAAACGTCTATAAGTAATTATTTTTTATTTTTCTTTTTAGTGCCATAAATTTAATTTATCAGTTTTAATACAATTATCAAATATAAATTATTACAAATTTTATCTTCCATAAATTAACAATTAAGAAATTACTTATTCCATTATTTACTTATTCATTAATTTACTTAATTATACATTATTATTATCAAATAATAGATTAATTTTTCGTTTTTTAATTGCTATAAATTTCATTTATTAGTCCTAATACAATCAACTATAAACATAATTTCAATCTTTTGTAGTTTTTATGATAATTTTTTCGTCTTAAACAATCATAAATTTCAATTATAATTTTATCTACAATTGTACAATTATAATTATAGTTTTAGTATAACAATTAAATTTACCTATTAATTATTGTTAAATGAAAGGTCAACTTTTCTTTTTTTTACACCATAAATTTAATTTATCATTTTGATATAGTCATCAACTATAATCGTAATTTTTTTAATCGTAATTTTAATCCCTTTGAATTTTTTTGGTGATATAATCTTATCTTAGTTAGAATTTTATCCGTAAAACAAGAAATTAATATTGTGATTTTAGTAATTAAAATTGCTATTAAAAATTGTAAATAATTATAATTTTAATTACAACAATTTAATTTTTGATATATTGATGAGATTTAAAACTATCACTTAAATAATTGTTGCCTGTTCAATAATTTGACCTTTTTTGCCATCCATGAAAAATGAAATCTTGTTCGGACCATTTCGAATTTGTAAGCCAACCATCACGTGCCCATGATTGACCTTTCGGTAGCACACTTATTTTTCGTTTCCATTTTTCATTTGTTTCAAGTTGTGCTCGAACACAAGCCTCATATATGAATAGATCTCCGTAATTTCTAAAATAACATCGTCATTTCACGTTTCACGTTATTTTTACACGTCAGTTTTAACGTGTAACTTAAAACCAAAGCTGTAATTACTTTTGTACGTTAATTTTAGCATATAATTGACGGTAAAAATGTAATTAAAAATTTATTGTAAAAAAATTCATTGGAAATTACAAATCTTACCGTAAATCTTTCAAAAGTACCATAAAAATTATTTCTTATTTATTTGCTAAAAAATTTAGAAATGTTAAAATTGTTTTACTTTGATTGATGCATTTAGTTTAATTATTAAAAAAAAGAATTAAATTTCCACAATTTATTCGAATATATATCAGCAACAGCAAACTGATATATATTGATATATTATTGATATATATTAATGTACAAACTGATATATAACTGATATATATTGATAATACGAATGCGTGGATGTGATAAGGAAAGAAATACGCGTTATCAAGAGTACTTTCGTCTCAGACTTCAATAAGAATTTCATCATAATCAAATAATTTTTACTACAAATTAAAATTTAATGAGCCATTAACAGATCGAATTCCTTTCTTCTCCATGTTTGCAGCAATTAAAAACTTTAACAAATTGGTTAACTACATACTTCGCTACAATTAATTTTTAATTAATTAGCTAATTAATCAATTAAGAACTAATTAAAAATGATTTAGGAAAAGAGCTATATATATATATATATATAAACAACTTAATTTGATATGTTCCATAAGGGTTCGCAGTGTTTCACATTCATTGATGCGATGTGTAATAAAACCGCCTGAAATCAATACTATT